ACGTAACAATACGATAATACTGCCTGTTCTAGAAACTTCTAAGACTCTCAACACGTGCTACCAGCGTCACTTGACTTCCGCTGTCGTAACACACTAGCGAATCTTCTAGAATACTCGTCATGTGACCCCCGCTGTCGTAACAATATGACAATTCCCGATGGAGCAGATGAACCTCACGTGAAGCAGAAGCCAACGAGATGGAGACCAGTATGGAAGAAGATATGCCCCGTAAAATTAAGAGACTTTGCTGAATTTTAATTTTGTGTTTGTTAATTCTGTCCCTTTAATTAAGTTATTGTTAATTATCTATTGGTTTAATTTAAGTGGCTATTGTTCGGGACAAACAATACTAAGGAAGGGGCAGTGTTACGACAACGGAAGTCACGTGATTCTGGTAACACGTGATGAGTGTCTAGTAGGATCGGGGAACATCACGAATAATCCAGTATTTGTTAGATGCCCTCTATTTTTGTATATAAGCCCGGCAAATAAAGCAGAGATATAATTGCAGACAGGGAGATATAGAGACAGATAATCAAGTCAAGTCGTAAGTAAAGTGCGTGAATCGTTGTGAATTATAGCGTATGTTTAAGTTAAAGTGACTGTGGAAATTAAGTGTATTGTAAAGTTGTATTGAGAAAAAATAAACTAGTTTTATTTAGGTAAGAACTTGTATTGCCGAAGTTCTTCGGAAAGAATTTTTACGGGAAATTAACAAACGACCAGAGTCATAACAATATAGTATTTTTTTCTGACTGCTTAAACGTTATCATTTCAAGATTTGTAAATTCTTTTATCAGTTATGCAGAAAGGACAAGGTCTCTAAAATAGGAAGTTCATACACAAGTGAAAGTTAAAAATAAAAATAAACCTGAAAAGTATTTCACCTGTAATGGTACCACCATATGGTATACTTTCAGAAATAAGCTGTGTATTGTGACATCATAATTCTTTTTTTATGTGTATCGAATTTACTTGTGCAATTTTTGTTAGTTTAATGTCATTTTCCTACTTTTCTGGCCACTGTGGTCTTTGTGGTTAGTGCACCGTATTATATGTATCCAAAGGTTTTTGATTTGTATCCCGTGCAAAATTGTACTTTCATTCTTTGGAGTGCTTATTGACGTTAAAATCATCCTATTTGATTAATTGTAGTTTTTTAGCATTAAGTGCAAAGATACACAATGGGCTATCTGTATTGTACCCACCACGTGTATCAAAATTCGATTTTTAGCGTTATAATACCTCATATTTACAGATGAGCAATCGGGAAGCTTGTTTTATTAGAGTGGCCGAAAAATTGGAGGTAGGTGTTGTAGACTAACTGCATTTTGCTTCTAGTCTATCAGTTCAATATTAGAGAGCTTATGCACAGATAGCCTTTGAGTAGGTTTAAAAAAATTAAAAAATTTTTTTTTTTGTTTCGATTAGTACATTAGTAACTTTTACAGACGCTATGAGTCCTCAGATGGTACAGTGGTAAGTTTATTGGATTGCAATGCTACAATCTGAGGACTAGATTCCCTGCAGAGGATACAACAGATATCCCAGTGTGGCTTCACTCTAAAAAAAATTGGTCCTGTATTTGTTTAATCAAGAATACACTTTATTAATAGTTTTCAGATCAGTATTGATTAACATATTGTTACGACAGCGGAGGTCACATGAAACTAATAACACGTCATATTCTCGAAGCTTCGTGAATCCTCGAGAGGTTACTAGATGTACAGTATTCTTTTATATAAGAAGGCCAAGAAATGACGGCAACAATGTAATGTAATGCTGTGTAATTGAACTGCGGACAGAGAGAGAATATTGTTGAGTTGAGCACGTGAGACGTTCCTTGTGAATTATAGCGTTTGTTATAGCGCGACTGTGGAAATTAAGGGTATCGCAAAGTTGTATTCAGAAAGAATAAACCAGTTTTATTTAAGAAAGGACTTGTATCGTAAAGTTTCTTCGGAAATAATTTTTATGGAAAATTAACTAACGAACGGAGGCGTAACGATATTATGCACTTTTTTATCACCTAAAGATTAAAGTATCTTTATTTTTTGTGTACTTGTATTTTGATAATTTAGAACAATGATATGGCCAATAACGCCTATGCTGGCGAAGCGTAATCTGTAAATCAGAAATTTGTATTACATCACAAAACAATAAATGTTAATAATTTTATCAGATTTCTCTCTTCTTTTTTCCTGCACCTAAATGTTTATTCAAAGCCACCTACTAGATGATTTAGTTAATGTGTATGAACGTAGATATAAATAACATAATATTGGCCAATTACTACTCTGAATCATTGAGGTGTATGTGCGCATGCGGCTGCCATTGCTATGTGTTGAAGTTTGAACTAGCAGACAATGTAAAATGGCTGAGATTGAAAGTCGTCCGTCCAAGTCACGACCCGAAAGAACGAAGGGAACACAATGCTATGCCATCAACTGTTACACATACCGTAACCAAGAGTCAAAGGCGGAGGGTGTTACATTTCACAAGTTAGTAAAACCTTTATTTTTTCTATAATATATGTAGTTACAGTGGGCGACATCAAACTGGATTAGATGTTTACATATCTAGTTTGAAAGTACATCTGCTAGGCTTTTTCTTTTTTTGGAAGGCATTTCACCTACAAAACTCCACAATTCAGCATGACAGTTTGACAGCTTTTGATTTGAAATGCTGACAATATTATCTTATATTAAGTACTCATGAAAGTTAAAATAATCATCCACGATATTTTATAGATACAACTATAAATTAATACAAGTACTTATGCTATCTCTGAGTGTCAAGGTAGAACACTAGAAGTTTATTAAATATACCACTTTGCTTAATAATATTAATGTTATAGATGAGAGAGGAAATTTGGGTTAATTTGTATGGTTTAAGACAAGTTTAATTTGATCAATGACGTTATGGTTGATCCTGGAAACAATTCAAATATATGTCTAACACTGTCAATATATTCATTCTCAGAATTAGGTGAGAGATTAGATTTTTGCAGATGGCCCCTTCCACTGTTTCAGTCCAAAATCCTTGAGCTGTCAGTGCCATTATGATAAATATTCAGTATGTAGTATAAGTGTCCCAAATATTTTATGTTGCTTGAATAACAATAAAAAACAAACAAACAAAAACATATTAATATAACTGTGATATATATATGATTGTAAGAGTGAGCCTAGTTTTATTACAGTATATTTCTGATTTAGGTTATTTCACATTATAGATTTCCAGACAAAACTAAGAACAGAGAAATGTATGCGCTTTGGGTGAAAAATTGTAGAAGAGAGCGTGAGCCCACAACTGGTTCTAGAATATGTAGTAAACACTTTGACCCATCAATGATCAACAGGACATTGCAACGAACACAACTTCGAGAAGATGCAGTTCCCACAATCTTCAAATTATCTGAACACCTTCAGGTTAGACTTTTGAATGTTCACTGTAGTTAACACTTATTTTAGCATAAGTACTCAAGATAAGATTTATTCAAAGTCATAATTTCTACATGCATAATATTATAGCCACGGAAAGCAGTGAAACGAAAGTCAAACACAAGTACAGAAGCCCTGATACCTGCTAGTCTGCCACATGGAGAAAAAAATGACATAGCTTCAACTTCAGTGGTGGTTGAAGAACAAGTTACAAAGGTTGGTATTTGGACTTTACTAATATTTTTCAAATGAAGATGTGTTTGTGGTCTAGCTGTAGAGTGTTAAACTCTCATGCTAGATGTTCTGGGTTCAATTCCCATGAAAACAAAGGACTGTGGAAATGATTATCACATGGTATACAGCAGAATTTGGGTAACATATAATTATGAATTGTACATTTAATGGAGAAAATTTCTGATTATGCTGTAGATAAATGCATTCCTGCAGTATTCTCGAAACTAATTCACTGTATGTCCTTTTTTTTCAAGTATTTGTATCAATTTTTTGCCATAAATCTCAATAATTTTTCTTATATATCAAAAGTTTTCTTAATTATTTCAATTATACTTCAGTCAAGGATATTGAATGTTTGGAGTGGCAGTTACAAAATCAACATTCTCTCCTCCCCCCTTATAAAGAATGCATTGGATTTTAGCCCGGAGCAAAATCTTTAGATTAAAATCTCTTACTTTTCCTTGGTGTTTATTATGTGTCACATAAAAATATACATCTTAAATATCGTTGCCAATGAACAAGAGGTGGGGCATCATGTCCTTTTCTTTATCAGAGGAGGAAATAGATTTGGATAATACTGTTGATATTATTACATGTAATAGGAACAATAAACAAGGAGAGTGATCATTATGATAATCAAGCTGTAATACTCGTCAACTGATGGGGGAATGTTTAACCTTAATTTAAACAATTTAAGTTTAACAGCAATCATATATTTCAAAGTAATAGCTTGAATGTAAACTTTATCTCAAAATTTTAAAGTTATAACAAATCTTCTTCATAAACAACATTTGCAATTTGTTTTCCATCTACCAACAAATAAAGATTTTGAGGTGATCCCACCCTTGAACACCCTCCATCTCATGTACCATGAAAAATGCATGGCTGTTTGAGAAACAATACAGCAACTTTCATACCTTGACCTTGAAGGACTTAGGAATATTCAACATTGTCTGAAGCATCAACCTGTGAAGGTTGTTTGAGATGAACTCAATAGGCTGGGAGTAATTAACCAACTGGCTTTACAAAATAGAAATAGGGTTAAGTTCAATTTGACCCCCTTAGGACATTCCCCATAAGTCATAGTGTTTACATACAAATTTCGCTGAGATTGAGTGAGCTTGGAGGAGTTAGGGTGCACACAAAGACACATTTTGTCTTTATATACATAGATTGTGAAGTCTTAACCCAGGCTGTATTGCTTGCTGCATCTGTCTGTAATTGGCAAGTCAGAGAAAGCGATACTCACTGCAAATAGTATTTATTTAATACAGGCATATGCAAAAAAATGACCTAGTGCACAAATAGAAAACTGGAGGAAGTTTATGTAAAGTATAAGGAATTCAGGCAGAATCATTATGTATTGCAAAACACATAAAGTTTATTAAAATATACATGTAACAACACACTTTTATTGCTCATTTATTCAGTTTTTAAAATATTTGCTTCAATATTACACCAAGAACTATTAACAATAACTAATGATTTCAACCAACAGAGAAATTATACCATTTATGCTTGACTTTATGTAAATTTTCTAAGTATGTCTTTTAGCATATAAAACAAACTTGCATGGCACTTGAGTATCTTGTTTATTCCAAGATAATAGGAGCGGAGACTTCAAAATATATTGTTGAAGACTCAAATTTCTTATCTGACTGCATGCACACTGTCTGAGATGCCTTCTTGGCATCTTTTATCTATGACTGTGCAAATCTTTTTCATGTTTTGTGATGGATGTAATGTGATTCTTGGCCAAAAGAGGTCAGCAATAGATAATTCTGAGTTCAATAATGTAACATGTAGACAATAAGAACTAGTTTGGCTGTTCAGTATTGTCTCTGCACACCCAACCTTGAGAAGAAGTAAAAACGTAAATCCATCCTTTATTTTTTAGGAAATTATAGATTCTCGTTCTAAGTTTTTTTGTGAACAGCTAGTCACTTCTACTGCCAATGGCAATTCATTCCATAAACTAATTACATTATTAGAGAAATTAATTTCAGTTAACTGGAGCATAGCCTTTATTTTGCAAACCTTAAACTTGGGTTCTCTCATTGTATTGTCTTCAAAATATAGCAGAAAGAAAAATCAGAGATCTTTATCTATTCTATGAATAATGCAATTTTGAAAAGCAAATAGCTTCTTTCACTGTAGGATCTAGTCATATCTATATGGAAGGGGTCAGTGTCATTGTTTGACTTACTATAGTAGATTCTTTTTGGTTATATATCATCACTTAAGTTAAACCTTCTTTTTCCTCCTCCATTTCAGTGTGGGGATTTGAGCGACAGCTTATAATACAATAATGTATTGTATTTTATATATATACGTTTTAGTTAAAATGAAATTCAAAAAACAGCTTTCATTCTCACTCATTTCCATACCACTGGGTTATTGTACTATATAAGAATAGAAGAGTGTAGTAGGTAAATCAAGTAAAGCATCATAGAGATTGGCTTAAAACATCAAACAATAAAGGGAATGAGTTATATGTCTAGTAAAAATTTTCATAAGAAAATAATACGAGATTATCAAAGGTGGAGGGTAGAAAGTGTAGAGAAAGAAATAAAAAAAAATATTGGCAAAGCTATGAGGAATAGCTCATATTTGAATACTAGTGATATATTAACACTTTTAATTTAAGTTTTAATTCCAAAATGTTAACTGTAAGATAACTGTTTTTATTTAAATGCTTTATTTCAGAACACAGTTGCCATTATCAAAAAGGAACCTTGGCTAGATGATTATACAACTTGCTTCTTTACTGAAAGTTTTGAAAATAGTGAGGATAACAAAAATTTGGAAGAAGAAAATACAGGCTTAAATGATACTTTTGATGGATTAAAGGAGAAAGTTGAAATTCTAGAATATGTCTTAGAATCTGATAACACATGCAGTAAGTATTTACATCAGATATTCTGAACTTGATGCATAATGTATTAAATTTTCTGATATTAGCAGTGATGTGTCTATTGGTTATACGTTTGTGAAAATACTTGTTGGCATCATTACAATATTTATAGTAGGGAAAATACTTAGTAAACATGTTTATATCTTTCTTAAATGGGTTTGTTTAATATGTGGAAAATAAGTATTAATATCTTTATTTTTATTTTTTAGATTTTTAAATGAAGATTTAATTCAAATAGTTTATCATCAAAATGGCAGCAGTATTCCTAACATTAGACTGTTACATTAATATCTCTTAAATATAAAAATATGGTTTTGATTATTACTATTATTACTGGTTACTGTTAAATTACTCCTAATTCCCTCCATTGAAACTTGTTTTTTAAATAATATGACCTACCAATAACAATTAAAAGGAACCATTTAGTCCCTCAAATTGTCCGCACACACCTACCATTGGGAAAAGTAAAAATTGAAACCCACCCTTTATTTTTTAGAAAATAAATTCCATTCTTAACCTCTTTTTAATGTACTTGCTCCCACTACTGCCAATGGTAATTCATTCCATAAGTCAATCACCCTGTTAGAAAATAAAGCTTTCTTAACTGGAACTTAGCCTACTTTATCCAAATCTTAAACTTTTATCCTGTTATCATTGGAATATGGCATAAAGAAATAAGAAATCTTAATTTTCTTGATTCCCTGTATCATATAGACCCCCAATAGATTCTGGTATTCTCAGGTGAAGCTACTAGTATGTTAAACACATTCGGTGATTTAATTAGGCTTATTTAAAATTGTCATCAACTTTGTATGCATTTATAAGTTATTGGCCAAGGCCTAATTTGCTGATATGCACTAACTGAATTTCAAGTTACTTGTGAACTTTAAATTTGATTATTTGTTAACTGTGTCAAGTAAGCATATACTAAGGTAATTAGAGAACTAATTTTGTGGTTTTTATTATTTATGCAGCAATTTAAACATAATAGTTTTTAATTTATGTACAGCATTATCTGTTCATTGGTTTTTTAACTTTCATAAACTAGTAGGCCTATAAATACATTGGTTTTTTGTAAATTTCTGTGTTATCAGTCACTAGAATTATCATATACATAGATTTTATTGTCCATTTATTTTATTAATTCAAACTTTGCTGTTTCTATTAAATTGTCTTATTACAATGTTTGTAAAGCAAAATTTATACATTTAATCTTTTAAGGTTTTAAAAAAGAAGACTCTTCATGGCACCAGTAGTACTACTAGTGATGGTGTTTCTGCTTCCAGCCCTATTGAACCTTAGGTAAACATAGCTCTGCAGGCACAAGCTAAGGAGGCATACAGAAAGCTTCTTGTAACAGCTTACTTTTCTTGCTATGTATGGACAGCCCATCTCAGCATTCAAAACACTAGTTAAAGGGCAAAAACAAAATGGGGTACAACTGATTTCAAATTTTGATAATGTCAGTAGAATGTAAGAATTTATTAACGTCACTGTAGAAGCTATTCAAGAGAAAGTAGCAGTGATTTCATGTTCAGCAATAGCTTTTGCATTGCTTATTGACTGAATTTAGGCAAAAAAAAACAAGCTCTGAAAAATAACTGATTTTCATTAGGATAGTCTAGCAAGGTATACCAGTTTATATTTGTGTTGACTTGCAGGACATTGACATCTTTGATGATGCAGATGCAAGTCATTTAAAGAGGAACATTGGTGATGTATTCAAAGATGATAGAAAGGTTTCAATTCCAGCTGAGAAATATACTTACCTGGTAGTTTCAGCTGCAACTGATGGAGCTTTTGTTAATACTGGGATTTATAATTATTTGTTAATAAATCTGAAAAGTTATCATCACCTTTGGCTTCTAGGCATTCACTATATTTCCCATAGAGTTTAATAGGCATTGAAAGATAAGTGTATCTTGCTGATGTGAAAGACTTCATAGCAACTATATATGTTACTTATTCATATGATTTGCAAAGTTTTAAAGGCCCTTTGAGACAACTGCCAATACATTTGGTATGCAGCACTTTAATTTATCCAAAGTGCACGATATATGGTTTATTACTTACATAAGACATGGAATAAATCATTTACTGAGTAATTGGGTAATTCTTGTTCAAGCAATAGAGTTTTTGCTAGTTACAATAAGAAATTAGAATCAGATAAATTTCACGGAACATTTAAAAATTTGAAAGACTTTGCTATTATGTCAAAATGCTGCTTGTACAAAGAGGTGCTGAATGTATGTTCTATTTTATCTACAACTTTTGAAAAAGAAAACATTTTATGTTATCAGATACTGCCTATGGTACAAAAAAGAAAAGGATGCCTTACAGGAACTCCAAGAAGAAGCATCAGGTATACACTGTGAAAATCCTTTGTAAAAGGTCAAACTTGAACTGGAAATGTTCCTTGCATCTTAAAACCACTTTACTTAATGGGGCACCAGGAAAAGAAAGAAACAGGGAATAACGTTCTGTTAGTCTAATATACACTCTAATGAGGAGGTTTACAGTGGTCAAGACTTAACTGTTACAAGCAAGTGATAAAACAGCATTTTTGAATACTATAAGTAACTGAGAACACAAAAATTTATCAAATACAATGTACTTATAGGCTTACCAGCTTATAAAAAGTAAAATACCAATGAACAGGTAATACTGTACATAAAATAAAACTATTATGTTTAAATTACTGCATAAATAATAAAAGCCACAAAATTAATTCTATAATTACCTTAGTATATGGGATATTGTTATAGATCTGAGTATTGAGTTCAAAAATAAGATACATACATACATACCCAAAGCAGAATGGTGTGTTTTTGGATTAAAATAGCAAGTGACTGTGTATTGTTTCAGGAATTCAGTGCCATATATATACCTGTCCACCTCTTGCTGACAGCATCCTTTCACATCTTTTTGGACCTTCTCACTGTATTTAGCACAAAGCTTGCACCAAAGTTTTCTTACATTTTTTCCTAAGGTGTCTTTTGAAGAAGAAAATCTGATTTGTCCACAAAATTCCATTTACTGAATGTTGACAACAAAACACTGTTTCACTGGCTAACCTGAGATATGTTTACAGTTGAAAATGAAACCAGAACTGAACTGTGATGATCTCTGGTCAGTGTGATAGCCCCTGTGGCCTCAGATGATCCTGAAAATCAAAGTAGTTTGTCAAATGCAATTTAGGTCACAATGAAATTTGTTAAATCTCTTCTTGCTGATATGAATTTGCTAATAATTAATAATCATTTTTTTTTATTTAATCTTTAACATAGTAACTTAATTTTTCAGTTTCAAATATTAGATGTCAATATAATACAATAATGTAGTTTAAAATATATTACTGTGTGTGTAACATTGCTTGTCTAGGCCAATTACAATTTAAGTACAGTAGTCTTAGCAGTCAAGAAGATCACATCAATTTATCTATAAGCTTGTCCTGTCTAGAAAAGTAACAGCTGATTGCACAAACAGTTAGCATCATGACAGGTGTGACAAGGGACTTAATGAGCCCTGAGAATACATACTTTATGGGTGCTTACAAACATCAGTGTGATAGCTCCCATCAAACATAAAGGTCTGTGTTATATAAACATTTTAGTGATTTTTTTAAAGAAATTGTTTATCATATTACTGTATGTGTAACATTGCTAGTCTAGACCAATTAAAATTAAAGTACCAAAGCTGTAGCAGCCAACAGGGTTGCACAAAGCTATGTGTAAACAAACAACAGTTAATTGCATGAACAACGAGCATCATGACAGATGCAGCAAGAAATTTAATAAACCCTTACAAAACTTATTTTACAGGCACTTGCAAGTATCAGTTTGATGGGGCCCATCAAACATGAGGCCTATATTATGCAAAAACTTTTTTTTTTATTATTTAGCAATATATACATATTTACAGTGTGGGTCAAAATTGACAATACAACTCTTTTTATAGATTACTGAACCTGGAGATAAAGGATGGAACTATTCTGCAATGTTATTTTTTCTACCTGAGCTACTTTTATAGATTATTGAACCTGGAGACAAAGGATGGAACTATTCTGAAATGTTATCTTTTTTACCTGAGCTACTTTTATATATTATTGAACCTGGAGACAAAGGATGGAGCTATTCTGAAATGTTATCTTTTTTACCTGAGCTACTTTTATATATTATTGAACCTGGAGACAAAGGATGGAACTATTCTGAAATATTGTATTTTCTACCTGAGCTACTTTTATAGATTATTGAACCTGGAGACAAAGGATGGAACTATTCTGAAATATTGTATTTTCTACCTGAGCTACTTTTATAGATTATTGAACCTGGAGACAAAGGATGGAACTATTCTGAAATGTTGTATTTTCTACTTGAGCTACTTTTATAGATTAATACTCCAAGACTTCCTGTACACGTGTCACTCTGAACTAGGTAGTTGCTGATCATATCATCTTTGTCTTTTCATGATTACACATTTATTTAAGTTGCAACATATTTTATTTTCTAACACCTTACTGTGAAACAAACAATGATTTCAATTGTCTTCTTGATATATTTCTATCTAATAAACATCCTATGGAGACTGATTTCTTCAAATATCTTTAGCATCTAGGACTTTGGCTTGTTTGCTGTAGTGGTTATAGAAGCAAATGTAAATTGTACATGAGTAGTTGTATTCTCCATGAAACTTATCACTACCAGCATCTTTCATTATTCCAACTCTAAACCATCAGGATGATGAAAAATTGACTATTAGTAAAGTATGTTTGAACTATTCAGACTACCTGACCATCATATTCTTCCCTTATAAAGGCTTATGGTATTAAAAACTTGTGAGGTGACCAAAACAAAACCCTTCCTTCTGAACATAAAAAGTTAAGATGTTATAAGTATTTTTTAACTTATCTGCCTACCTTATTATGCAGTACCAAAGTGGAAGCGTTTTTTTACTTAATATTTAAAATATTGGATACTATAGTGAATGTTTTGCAGTTTGTAATTAAATGTGTGTATTTATCAATCTTAGGGCCTTTTTTTTTATCTTCCAGTGTCCAAAAGTTCTCAAATACATGTTCTTCCATCGAAAGAAGATCCATGTTCTGAAAAGGAACAGAATGAGAAGGAAAAATATCACATAAAAAATGAAAAAATGGAAAATTGCATTAACATGAATAATCAAGTAAATTTTTATTTTACATTTATTTCATTGTAGGAATTATGAGGTCTTGAACATAGACAAATTGTATAGTAAGTTGTGTTACATATTTGATAAGATCAAGGATTCACAAAAAATTATAATACTTTTAAGCACCTGTAGCTTTTTTCAAAATGCATTAGAATATTTGTTTAAGATATAAATATTTTCGACAGCAACAACAAAATCAAAATACTGGAAAGATAGAGTATATGAATTTCAGTAAGCATATTATGTTTTAATATGGAAATAAGTTTGGCAAGAACTTAAAAAACTCCAATATTTTGTCATTTTGTGACAATTTTCATTTTAGAAATACTAGTATTGAAAGTATTCAATCAACTTAAACACAGAATTTGAATGAAATCATTGGATATGATTCATAGCTAATAGAATTGTACATGTCATTTCTTCTTTAATTTGTAGTCTTTACACATTTTAGAAATTCTGTCATGCTTGTTTTTTTTTGTTGTTGTTATTTGTAGTTTGCACCCCTCAAAATTACCGACAGCATGTGATAAAGCCTTTGGAAAATCCACAGCATTTAAAAAAATGTGCTGTCATAAGAATAAATCTTGAATTGTTTATTTTTGTGATTTCTTAGTTTTTTTTCTATGAATAACATCAAATATTAATATTTTATGGTGTTGACTAGCTGCCTTCCCTCTAGTCTTACACTGCAAAATTAGGGACAGCTAGCGCAGATAGCCCTCGTGTAGCTTTGCACGAAATCCATAACAAACAAACAATTATCATGTTTTCCTAGACACAGTCAAACACATTTATCCACCAGAACTTTTTTATTAGAAACAAAACGCACTACTTGGATTTACATATTGGCAACATTAATCAAACACTGACATTCAAAATGTTTAATAAACATCATTTTGAAGTTATAAACTTTCCATGTACAAATAGAAGTATTCCAAATAAGTTACATTCCAATGTTTACTACTCACAGCTTATTATACACAATAGAATTTGTTCAACCTTACAAGATTTCATGGATGGAGCTTGTAAACTCACTCTCATTTTACACCTACCACATTTTAAATGCAAAACTCACTCATTTTTGTGGGAAATTGAACAGTCTTCTTGCTACAAATTAGGCAACTAAAAGTTTCACAGAATATTCTGACATTTTTAAAACTTTCTTGTCTATTTTTTAATGTTTAGTATATTGATCATCATTAGCTTTATCTTCCATTAGTTTAAGCTCATACTTTAGTTAATAATAACTGCATAATAGTTCTCTATTAGTACAACATTTATATCATTAGTTTCTGCCCATTGTTTTAGCTGTCATGTTTATCATTGTTAATGTTACATTACAATGGAATTAATACTCTTCATTTTAAATACTAATTGGCATTTAATTGTCGTATAAAATTTCTATCAAATTTTCCATGTACTAGGAAGATTTGAAGGAAGAATTTGACCAAATTGATTGGATATAAGTTCATATACAAGAAGTACCATTGGTTGATTCTGATTGTATTAGGATTCATACTTTAGAGGTTTGGCTTTAGCTATTCACAATATGTCAGTAGTTGAATTGGTTACTGACTGACATCAGAGTAGCCAAAATGCAAAAGTAAAAGCCAGTGGTGCATGAAATTCATCAAATACTGACAACTTTTCCTGTAGTAAAATCATCCCAATTCTTAGCTTTCATGTAGTCTTTGAATAAAAATACATTATTTTCTGTGTTGTTGTTCAAGAACCAAAAGACGTAAAGTGTGGTTTCAAATTTGAATTTTCTATGGCAAGTAGTCAGTACAAATAATCAGGTTCATATGTGATTGGCTGTGGTAATTCCATTATTAAAATTAGTCAAACTGGTACTGCATAGCATGAACATTTATCAGCATATTACATATGCAGATCCATATGTGATTTGTTGTGGATATTCCATTGTTAACATTAATGAAACTAGCACTGTGTGTCTGGAAGTTGATCTTCGTATTGCTTTGAATGAAAGTGACATTGACATCTCTAATTTTGAAATATTTCTATGCTATTTCAGTTTCAACCATTTCTGTTAATTAGAAACCACTGAAATAATAGTCAACAATAAAAAAATTAAGAAGATAAAGGAATAAAAGAGAAAATATGCACTTAAAAAAAGGTAACAAAACTAAGATTGGCTGGCATGAATTTCAGATTGAAAAAAATGCATAGCTCTTTTTATGCTTCATTTTACATTATTAAAATAGTTACAATCCAATTTAGATCTAAGGCCAAGAAAAAATATTAAATAGTCCAAATTAATTAAATGATGTACATAAAATATTTCAGCCTTTATTAAGGACTGTAGGTTTATTGCACTTACATCATAATGTTTCTGTTATGAAATGTGACATACACCATTTTTAAAAGCATGAAATGTTGCAAAATCAGTAGACTATGTATATAGTTTTATAAAGTATACTTGAACTTCAAATCCATAACAACAGATTAACTCTCAAATACCTCTTATTATGTTATAAAAAAAATAGCAAAATTGTTTTATATGCAAACTTTTTTACGTTTCGCCCCTATGACGGAACATTAAGCAATCTGTGATGTTCCGGTGTGTTGCATTCATTGAGTCTGATTACATACACCTGTTATCAGTAACCAGATCTGCATATTTTTTTGTGTGTTGTTTGGAGGCATCCAATGATTTATCCAGTATATTTGGAATTGCATCTAATACATTTAAATTATTGTATACTACATTAGATGTTTCCACTGATTTTATCTGTTAACTTAAAAATATGTTGTGTATATATATATATTTATTTATTTAAGTTTGAACATAACTCTTAAATCAGTATGTGGATAAACCCTGAAAATACTTATGTAATTGATTTTTCACAATCACTTTATTATTGTCAGCATATGGCAATATTATTCACAAAGTTTCCTTTTAACTGTTTAGAATTTTTGACTTTATCCAAATAATCTCATATGATATTACCAACAATGTTATTTAGAAAACCATTTTTGTTTAAAAATGTTTTAATGCTTTCAAATTCTTTCAAAGACCTGAACTTCTAGCAAATTGTGACAGTGAGATCATGTTCTTTATATTGATTTTTGGATGCTGAAAATCCTTTAAAGTCTTAGAATTTTGTCCTTAATGTGTGCAGCACTGATTTAATAACTAATGAGTAACTAATTGTAGTAGTGTTAGTTCAATGAAAGCTGACAAAGAAGTCATATTTTAGTATACAATCCCTAATATTTTTAATGTTGTGTAAAATTCTGTAAATTTAAACTTGATGTTTCTGGTTTTAATATATTCTATCTATTCAGGATATAATAATAAAATATAATTAGAATGAAAGATTGTTAAAATTTAATATTTACAAAACCTGGATTGTATGATTACATGTATTTGTATTCTGAATACAGTATTTTAATACTAAGAAAAACATGTTTGGTTTTTCTTCTTTTTTATTAGGAAGCTGCAGTGTCATTTGAAGAAGGATTATCTGATAACTTACCAGGTATGGCTGTTTTTATGATCAGTAGAAGTGAGTAAAAGGTTTGTTATCTTAAAGAGACCTTGAAAACATGCAAATTCTAAACATTCGAAACTGAAAGAAAAAATGTAGAATCACTAGAAGAATTGTATAGAAGTTCAACATCAGTAACATACAGTTCATATGCTTTGATTTGCTTAATTCTGTGATTTGTTTATTAATTATTTATTTTCTTCATTTTCAGGGATATACACTTCTGCCATCTGTGAGCAGTCAGAGTGCATTATTGAAGAGCTGTTAAGGCTACCTTTTACTCAAAGAGAATTTCAAGAGAAAAACGAAATTGTTAGACATGGACGACCAACTCCTGCACTGCCAGGCCTAAGTAAAGTAGGTAAAAATTTTGTCCGCCATTTTCAGGAGAATTCTTATGTGAAAACGACATGGCTAACAGGGTGTCCAAAGAAAAATAAGTTGTTTTGTTGGCCTTGCATCTTGTTTGCAAGTGAGAAACATGTATGGAACTCCAAAGGTTTCAGTGATTTGAATAATTTGCATATGGGTCTGCAGAAGCATGGACGCTCACAAAAACACATAAGGTGCTGGCTTGATCTGAAAACATTTGGTAACACTCACATAGAACTACAGGTTGATGAGCAAAGGTATGCTGCTATTGTACAGCACAATGAAAGAGTCAGAAAAAATAGGGATGTGCTACACAGACTAATTGATATAGTAATCTACTTGGGAAGCCAAGAACTGGCATTTCATGGGTATTCAGAAGGTGAAAGTTCAGTGAATCATGGGAATTATGTTGAACTGGCACATCTGGTTAGCAAGTATGATGACAGATTAGCAAGCCACATGGAAAGTTGTACTGTATTTTCTAGGATGTCTATCAAAATTCAAAATGATCTAATTGAGGCAGTCAAGAATGTAATATTGGCTGAAATAAAGAAGGAAATTAGTGAAGCCAAATTTGTTGCAGTGCTTCTGGATGAAACCTCTGATGTATCCAGTGCGTCCCAATTCTCAACAGTGTGGCGATATGTGACTACAGATGGTGTGGCAGAGGAGCGATTTACTGGCTTCATGGATATTAGTGCAAATTGTTCAGCAGAAGTGCTTTCAGAACGCATATTTGCTTGTGTTGAGGAGATGGACTGTGCATATAAGTTAGTAGCACAAAGTTACAATGGTGCAGTGGTAATGGCTGGTGAGTTGAATGTCTTGCAGACCAAAGTTAAGGCTAGATTTCCTTGTGCAATTTTTGTTCATTGCTATGCACACACCTTGAATGTAGTCCTTTCTCAAGCTTGTATAAGTATCAAAGAGTGTAAAATTTTATTTTCAACATTAAATGGACTTGTGTCTTTCTTTTCATCCTCATCTAAGCGGACCAAGGCACTGGATGATATTGTACACAAACGATTTCCCAGGGCTGCACCAACACAATGGAACTCTTCAGCACATCTTGTTAACATGGCTAATGACTACTTCCATTCACTTACTGAACTATTTGACCAGATCATTGAAAACCCATTAGCTTGGGATCAGAATACAGTTATTTCAGCCAGAGGCTTCCAGCACAGCTTTAAAGACCCTAAATTCCAGTTTCTACTTAATGTTTTTTGTGATGTATTCTCACATACTGATGTGTTGTTTAATATATTGCAGTCAAAGATTTTAGACATTGGATATTGCATAAGTGAAATTAAGAAGACTACTGAGGTAGTACAGAACAAAAGAGGAGAATTTGAAAAATTCTATTCCAAACTCAAGGAATCCACTGAAATTTCTGCTAAGATATGTAGACATAACCACAGCAGTGATCCAAAAGAGGAGTATAAAATATTATATTTTAAGGTGTTGGATACAATAGTTATGCAAATGCAATGTCGATTTTCATCACTGGAAAAACTTAAGTTCCTGGAGCTATTAAACTTCAGTAAATTTGGTCAGTATAGAAATATCTTTCCAGAAGAAGCATTAACTTCCCTAAATGAAATGTATGGGCACTTCTTTGATGCTATACGGCTGCATAATGAGCTGACTGTAATGTATTCATCACAAAAACTTTTTGCAAAGAAAAGTATTGCAGAGCTACTTGTATACATGCATATGAATGACTTAAGTGATGCTATGACTGAAGTATGCAAACTCTGTGATTTACTCCTCACTCTTCCATCTACTACTGTATCTGTTGAAAGAACGTTTTCAGCAGTGAAAAGAATAAAGAAATATATGAGAAATACAACACTGCAATCACAACTGTCAGGAATGGCCATTATGTCAATTGAAAAAAGCTACTTCAGAAGCTTAAAAGTCAGGAAGGCTTTTATGATGCTGTTATAGAAGAATTTGTGAAGAAAGATTGTTGGCTGGATTTCATCTACAAATAGGGTGAGTAAACCTGTTCTCTGTATGTCTTTTTATTATTATTATGGAGGTTTATTACATTAATAAGTTATTATTGCATGACCTGCTTGAGCACACACCACTGTGATATACTTTGCATTAAGTATTATATATTATCTATTAGATATTATCTAAGTCGGCATCTTGCTCTGATCCAAAGTTAATGTTAATTATGTGAAATATTATGTTATATTAATATTATAATAAATAAGATCTGTCTCATGCATTAAACACATAAAAATAAATCAGTTGTTTAGTAGACCAGTTTGTTAAATTAAATGTCATTCAGGAAAGCTAAAAATATAAAATGTACTTATCTATACTTCTAGGATCAATGTTGCCATTTTAGACCTAATTTTGTCATCAGTATCAATAAGTGTAAAAATTTAAAAGTATGAAATCGAAACTAATCCTGGTAAAATTGTTGTGAATTACCTACTCCAAATGTAAATGGCAAATAAGTAAAATAAAATATATATATAAAGAAATAAGGTACTTTTGTATTGTAATACTCATTTTCTTTGTAATTGCAGTGAGATATTTATTTCAGGACTACTTTTTCAATCAGTACTAGTTCTGATATGATACATGACCTCCTTTTACATGTAGCTTTCCCAATTCATTGCTGCCCTCTATGTGTGAATTTTTTTACTCACCACTAGCCTTGAGTCTCCCACTTAAACTCGCATATTTCCATGTGATATTGCTGTACTGTTGCATGCAAATGAGCTTGTGACAACCCTACACCAAGAGGAGTGCATCACATTTCCTTGTGCAGCTGACTCCCACTATACTAATAGTTCATTCATCACTTTGAGATTATGCAAGAAAAGATGCACCATAAGTTGAGAGGAAAGGAGGGATGTGTAAGAGAAGGTAAGTATCTATCAGAAATACATTTTCAGTGTTGGAAAATGTTAACTTCTGATATGATACATAACCTCGGCTCTCATATAGCTAGAATCCCGCATTGAAGTGGTGTAGGGACCAGTGCAAAATTTATCTAGATGAGTCTTTTTCAGGTAGCACTCAAAGGGAACTCATGGAGTGCAACACCCCATTCTATGAAACAATATAGGAGCACACCAATGGGAAACTGCACCTCATCTGTTCTACAGTACACTCATTGCCTGTAAAGAAAGAATGTGTCACTAGGATGGGCAGAAAATACAAGCACAGTCCAGAACCTACATCAGGCCCACAGAAGTGCTCTTTCTGTAGTGAAGTTAAGGTGCTTCAGACCATACATGGAAAGTCAACTCCCTTCCAAAACCAAGCAACATCAGGAATTTGTTATTAGGTCCACAATAGGAGGAAGGTCCCTTCCATCACCATTTTCACCTCAAGCCCAAAGAAGCAAAACAGGAAAGTAGCATCTACCCTGCAGACTGGGTGAGAGCTTATGTTGGCTGGTCCTGCTCCATACCAATTCCAGACCACTAGGGAACCAAAGATCTGGAATGCAGTATGATGTGGAAAACCAGCTGGAAGGATGAACTGTACTACATTGACAGAATACCACAGCTCTACTCTCTACAGAGTGGAATTGGTCAGACTCAGGAAGAATCCTTCATGGTCCACCACTCCAGCAATTAGGAATTGGTAGGTGTCAAGGATCCCAGGTTCCACTAGAAGAAAGATGTGGGTGAAAGTGTGTTAGGGAACCTGGAGGAGCACATCACTGTAAGACACTACAACAGGTGACCACTAAAACCCTATAATTAAAAAAAGGTCAGCACCATATTTTAAACTAGACATGGAGGATGGGCAGGGATGTCCTGCCTGCTTTATGCATGATAGTCCATGAGTGTGTATGGTTTTGATTGGGCCTTGTTTAAGAGAATGAGCACTGCAAATATCCTTCTAGTGGCCTTGTGGAATATCCCATCTCATAAGTGAGTGCTATATCAGCCCTTGATTGCCCTTTCTATACACATGACACAAGCCTTCTGCCCTCCCCTTATTAGAATCAAATAATTCCAATATGTCTGTCATGTAAATCATCATGTGTCACTTCTCCACCAATAGAAGCATGACATACGTGGTGCATGTGACTCCTTCTATATGCCTCTACCAAACTATCACTTCTCATATAGCAGTGCTTGTGCCCAGATGTGTTCCGTTTTGTTTGTTTAAAGTTTCACGTTCGTTTTAAGTATACTCAAGAAATGGTCTTCATTTATTTTCACTTCTGGTTTCTATTAAGACTGTTTCTTAACTTCACTTTAATCCCAATTTTTTACAGTCGCATTGTTATTTATACTTTCAATTATTGGTTGACTTTTCCTCACTATGAATTCCAAAGTTTATGTTACCACTTTGGGGACGCTACAACTGAGACTAGAGCTATGTCTCAGTCCTCAGGTGCAGGCGACCCATTTATTTGCTGGGAGATTGAATATTACATCTGTCTCCGGACTTTGCCCCACTTCCTTCTGAACAAGCTGAGCCTCTTCAAGTGGACGAGGACTTGGATTGCCTATTTCCACCTTCTGATTTTGCCATATCTTCACATTGCCCCGCCTGAGAAGTCAGTTAGGCATAATACGGTCTTTTTGGATTTTGTTTCTCAGTTATGTGATGTTTTATCCCTTTCCCCTATTTACTGTGAACCATGCCCTTCTTTACTAATCTTCCCATCCCTATTTGGTTTTCCCTCTCCCTGGATATTTGGGTACATGCTGACCAATTTGTCTCACAATTAAGTAACAGGATTAGCATGCCTTGTCCCCCATGGGCTTTGGATCAGTTTGCTCTTGCATATTATCATGCAGACAACCCTTTTCTAGACCAACAATTGTGAGGTTCCATTTTGCGTGTTTGTGGGGTGGCCCCCAAATCTCCTGTAACTCTGACTCATGCCCAATTTTCCCTCTCTCGTCTTACTCTCACAACTCTTTTATGATATTCCTCTATCATATATCTCCTCTATGAGGCTCTCCACCAAAATCTTGAGGGGTTTTCTGGGGACATCTTCTCCCTTCTTTCCTCCACGTTGGCTCATTTCTTATCTTTGATTCTGGCCTTACATATGTAGTTTCTCTGTTGATGGGACTTTCTTAGTCATTAACTCTTGACCATTTGCCATCATCTTATCTACAGGATTTACCTTTGGCCCCATTTCTACGGTGATACGCCTTTAAAATGATCCCTAAATCTTTGGAATTATGAGTTGCATCAGTACAACAATAGACTACACTTTCCAACATTGTTGCCCATTTGTCTCAGTTGGAGCCCAATATGGTACCTATTACTGTTTCCCATCCCATCCCTCCCTTACCAACCTTTTACTGTCCCTTCTTCTCAGGATTGCCTCTTCTCGTCGTTTTCTTTTGATGACGCACGTCACTTTGCCAACAGCATTGGTGACTACCTGGTGGGAGCATGGCTTGCCAATTTTAATCATCACTGGTGTTCTTTTGTCAAGGATCATTTGGTTATTCAAGTTTTATGGGAAGGATTCATGATTCCATTTTTCCCACCTCGCATGTCTCCTTATACTCGTTTGCTTCTCTCTGCTTTGGGATCCCATGACCAGCTAGTGTCTGTCTGAGGTGGTTCGGGAACTACTATCTCAGCAGGCCTTCAAACCTGTTCTACATCCTTCACCAGGTTTTTATTCCAAACTTTTTGTTGTTTCCAATAAAACTGGGGGCTGGAGGCCTGTCATTGATTTGTCATGCCCCAATTGCTTCATTCAACTGCCCCATTTGACCATGGAGTTATTTCTCACTTTATGGTGAGCATTTTCTCTGGGCTTATGGATGACCAATACGGACATCACCAATGCTTATCATCACATCCCTATATCACCACGGTCATGCCCATATCTTCGGTTTGCCCATTACAGGGTGGGTTATCAATTTTGCACCCTATTCCTCAGGCTTACTTCTGCCTTTATGTTTTCTGTCAAGTGGTCAGAGCTTCTGCTTGCCATCTTCATGCTTGTGATTCCATCATTATATGGATGACTGGCTTCTTCTGGCTCATTCTGAACTGGAGTCAGCCAGCCATAATCATCAGCAACTAGAAGGAGCTGGTTAATCAAACTGAGAAGTCCTTCTTCCAGTCTACTCATATACTTGGGTGTCTTTTTTAAAACTCATCTCAGCCGGGCCCAAACTTTTCCTCTTTGACTTTATTCCATGGAACTGTCAGTTTGCCATACCCTTTCAATTCTCTCACTTTCCGCTCGTGAGGTTCTATTGCTTTTGTGGATGTGGTCTTCAATGATATCACTGGTCCTCCCCTGGCTGTGCACATTTGCGATCCTCTCATGATGAATGAAACCTCACTCCGGATCTCTTGTCAGCTCTCGTTACCCTTTCTCTTACCCTGATGGACAATCAGCTTATGTCAGCAGGTATCCCACTTCCTCTTCCTCATCCAGATTTACATCTTTTCACAGACACATCCCTTTGGGGCTGGGGTGCATGGGTCACTCACCAAGATGCTTCTGTCATTGGTCTGTAGATGAAAGATCTTTGCATATCAACATCTTCGAGCTTCTCATGGTCTATCGGGCTCTGAATCACTTCCTTCCTCTTGCCAGACATTGCCCGGCAATGATTCATTTCGACAATTCTATGGTGGTAGCAGATATCAATCACCAAGGGTGCACCCGATCCAGATCTATCTCTTTGTGAACATTGGATATACTATATCAGGCCCACACACACAACATTCATCTCATTGTGTGTTACATTCTGGGTGCTTTCAATCTCGTAGCAGATCTTCTTTCTTGCCCTGACCAACTATATCCGACGAAGGGGTCTTTACATCCCCTCATTTTCTGCTGACCTTGCAATAAGTGGGGATTACCCTACGTAGATGCATTTGCCATATACCCCAGTCATTAGTTTCACATATTTTGGCCCCAGTACCTAATCCTTATGCTCTAGGCTATCGTTGCCTTCAGCCAAGATGGTCCCACAAATTCCTCTCTGTTTATACTCCATGTCCAGTCCTTCTGATTGCTCCTTATTGCCCAGCTGAACTGTGGGTTCCATGATTACAACAACTGCAACTTTTCCCTCCAGCACCCTTTCCTTTGTCTCCCTCCCTTCTTTGTTAACCTTGGTCACTGGTTTTACATCCAGCCAATCATGTCCTTCATCTTCACACCTAGCTTTTATCCAGTCCTTGGCGAGGAGATTGAGATTCTCCCATTGAGTAGCTTTCCTTTTAGCTCATTCCATATGTCCTTCATCAATATAAGTGTATCCATGCAAATGGAAAGTGTTCCACAGTTGGTCTGCAGCTCGGGGATTCCCCACTGACCAACCTATTGTGTCTCAAGTAGCAAAGTTTCTCACGTGGATTTTCAACTGGGATCTCCAGTCTCCTCACTCTCTGGTTATCGGGCTGTCTTTTCCCGATACCACCAAGTTTTTGCTTCCCCCTGTCCCTAGCATGTCAATGAGTTCCTTCTGGATTTGTTGCCCCCCCCCCCAAGATGGCCTACTCTTCTGGACTGGAATATTAATGTGGTCCTTCATTCCCTCACTTTACCATTGTTTGAACAGCACTCCCAATGTTCCATGTTTCACCATAACCCTTTTGAGACGGGTCACAGGTGAAAGGCCATGGCCTCTTGTTTGTTGACTCACATTTAAAATTTTATTAAATTACTATTTCATGAATTTATGTCAATAAGTTTGGTATCAAACTGTAGATCATAATTCAGATTTTAGTTCTATATATATTAGTCAATTTCTTAATTTTAAAGCAATTATTAAAAAACACAAATAAACATTGATTTTTGTATGTCACGTGGTATGTTGAATTCAGAACTGGTTCAAATTAGATGTTTGTGTAGTCAAAATGTTAAGTCAGTAGTTTTGTATGAACTAGAATCTCAAATTAACAATATTGAAAAGCGAGAATATAAAATAAGAACCTCTTATCTTTTCAATTTGCTAAGATATTGCTCATGTAATAAATCAAACACAATAGTAGCCCACCCACCTCTTTCCATTTTTGGAAATGCTCTCTTATATACACTTACTTCCATATATGACATGAATAACCAATTGGAAGCTCAGAATGTCCCCCTAGTGGCTTTTTCAGTCATTTTAACAGGCTTGGCACCATTTCTTTCTTTTGAACCAATATTTCAAATAGGTAGGGGTGTCTTTAGTCTGCTCGAAGTTCATATTTTTTTTATATTAAAATAAAGTTTAAGAACTTATTTCAAAATATCAATAATCTATACACATATATAATGCATAAGGATTGAAATGTGACTGTATTTTAGAAAATACAAGTCTACTAAAACACAGTCAAGACAAGTTAGTTTGTACAGACCAACGGTCAGTTTTATGTTTTTGATACAGTAACATGAGTGCACGTGAGCCGCGTCATTGTAACTCCTGTAATGTTAGCCAGGCATGGCTGAAAGGTCAATATAATAAAAATAATAAATATATATAAATGTATAATGTTATGAGATTTAAGCTATTTAGTCTAAACATTTATGTTTTTGTGCTTAATTTGTGTTCATTCTAGAATGAAAGAGGCATAATTTTTATTGATTTCCTAATTTTTTAAGGTGGTTGTGAGATTGGTCAAATCTAATGAACCCGTAAAGAGATTAATTAATTAATATATTTCATGTATACTTTACCACCCTATCTATCTTCTCCTTTATCCAGATCATTCCTTCCTCCCAAAGACCTCGGCAGCTAGGGAGGGTGACTCTTCCTTTTTGCCTATTTCCATTCCTTCTATTTCTCATCTCTACCCTTGTTCTGATCCAGCTAGACTTCCATGTCTAGTCCATACTCTTTGTTGTTATATTGCCCGCATGGCTTCCTTCTGTGGTACCCATTCCTGACTCTTTATCTTTTGGCAGTCTTCCTCTGTTTGGGATCTGTCCCCTTCTACCCTCATCAATTGGGTTGGACTTTTGATTCAATTGGTTTATCCCACCTTGTCTTCTTCCTCCTGGAATTTTTTCCAGGTGTCTCCTCATCAGATTCATTACCTCACCTTTTCCCTCACATCTAATCTTGGCTATTGGAGGAAATCCTACAGTCGGGCATGTGGACCACACCTAATACGTTTGTCTCCCATTATTTACACCATATTGAAGTTTCTTCTTTGTTGGGTTTCATCTTCCATCTGTGACCATTGTTCAGGCTGCAGTGTGACTTTTATATTCTTACTTTTCCTTTTAGGGGTCCTTGCTTCATTTACTCATTATATGGATCCTGTTCTGTAGTGATTGGTGCCTGACTAGGTATTCTTCAACTTGAAATCCACACTGTACTGCCATGTTGACTGATGCTATATCTTACATGGCTTTGCAGTGCTCACTATTGAGATGTGGTGTTCCACAAGATTGCTTGTAGATGAATAACCTTGTGATGTAACTGCTTTATAAACTTGCCTGTTCTGGACCATACCACACATGAACTCATGGGTAAAGCAGAAGGGGATAGCTGCCCATCCCTGCCACACCTTGTATTGAATAAGTTGATATGGTCTGCTTTTTAAAATAGTGTTTCTTGGTCATCCATTGCACTGTCTCAGGTGATGATGTTCCTCTGGACTCTTCACCGCATTCTCACCTCTCTTTCTTCTAGTGGAGTATGAGAGTCCTTACCACTTTCCAGTTCCAAGCCACTACAGTGGTTGACCATGGAGGCACCCTCCTGAATAAGTTCCACATAAAGATGGCTATAACCATTCAGTGCAGAGTAGGACGGTGGTGTTCTGTAGGTGTAGAGGATGTGATATCCTCCAATATGCAATATACACTTGCAAAGTAGTGAGATGTCAAACTGCAGTTCATCCTTTTGATTGGGAGCCCTCATCCTACCTCTGTGTTGGTGTCGGTACCCCTTGGCTGAGTTTGAGATTTAGAGTAGATAGAACCAATCAACATAAGTCCTCACACATGTTTATGGTTGTCTATATTTCTTCCTCGATCATACTCTTTCTGTGTTGTGGGTCACAGTGAAGGTAATGGGGATTGTTCTGGTTCAGTTCTTTTTGCTATCCCTCGTTGATTTATACTATATAGACATCCTTTCAATATTGTATGTCAGGTCCCTGGATCAATAGATCAAAGTTAAAACATGTCATGCTTCGGAGTCTGAGTGGTTCTAGATTACCCCTCCCCCAGTCTTTTGAACTTGAAGTGAAGATGGTATGATCCTCATCCTACCTCTATGTGGATGTTGGTTACAGAATAAACTGTCTACTTATCTGGGCTGCAACATCATAATATATATTTTATATCTTGACAACACCACCTCAGAATTAGTGAGGGATCTGTTTTTTTAATATTTGGAGATAAATTGTACTGATTAAAAAAATTGAGATGTATGGCAAGCTACCAAAGTTAATACCTAAAGGTTGTTAGGAACCATAAAATTTAGTTGTTGTATCTTTTTCTTTTATTCTAGACAAAATGATTCACATGAATAAGTATGCTGAATAGTTTACAAAAGCATTATCTAACTTGTTGCAATATAAAGAAGTATTCAGTGGAAGCTTTTAAAGGAGAGAAATCCAACATCAATTGTCAGCTAATATTACTCTGTTATCCTACCTCTGTACGTGTAGTGTATGCAAAAAAAAAAAAATGTTACAAGTTATGAAACCTTGAAAATATGTTCAGAGACCCACAATGATTATATAATTAATATAAGACTGACAATAAATATAAGGGTAGTTCAGAATTACAGTCTAATGAATTACGGAGAAATGGTTCTTTTGTGAAGTTTGTGGTCAAAAATTTACAAATATTTCAAATCTAATCATGCATCATAAAAACCACACTGCTGGTGATCTATATAACTAATGTGTGGGTGAAAAAATGTGTTACAAACACAAACTTATGAAACCATGAGATGATTCACACTGGAGAAGAGTTATACAATTGTTATGTATGTGATAAAACATTTACACATAACTCCAGTCTAAAAGCACATTATAGTATTTGTACGGAGAGTAAACCATATAGTTTTGATGTATGTTGCTGGAAGTTTAGGCAAAATTCAACTTTAAAATCTCATATGTCAATTCACACTGGATGGGTATTGTAAAAAATTTACTTCAAGTTCATATTTTAAAAGATCATGTGAGTGTTCATACTGGAGAAAAATTATACAGTTGTGATGCATTTGACAGGAATTTTACTTTGGTACTACATTAAAGACAACACCAGAAAATTTGTACTGGAGACAGACCATATAGGTGTGATGTTTGTGATAAAGAATATACATGGAATGAATACCTGAAAAAACATAAGCTGAAACACAATGTTGAAAAGTCATATAATAGAAATATTTCTGGCAAAAAAAGTGTACATAATATGCTCCAGATGAGTTATACTGCGTGCAATTTATATTGATATATGCATTTGGTAGCTATCGTAAAAAATTTAACTTGGAAAGCATATTAAAATGTCACTAGATAATTCCTAAGGATGAAAAACAAACATTATACATTTATGATGCATATGTATAAAACAGAGCTTAAGTAGAGGTATAAAGTAATGAAAGCACCAGAAAACTTGCAGTTTCATGAACACCACAGCTGAGAAATCTTCATTATTTGGATTAAGCTAAGCCACAGGGTTGATTTCTTAGCTAAAATTTAAAATTTTTTATAAAGATAAACATATCAAAAATAACCATTAAAAAATATTGTTGTTATCATACAAAAACATGCATATACATTTGATGTGTTTGGCCAAAATTGAAATGTGAAAGCATAATATATTCATTTTGTTAATACTTAATCTGTTTGCTAACTTTTCCCTAGAAGACACTATTAACCTTTGTGTTAATCTTGTTTTCAAGGACTAAGTAAACAATTTTTCAGACAGCTGATGGAATTTGCCACAAAAAACTGTTTTTCAGTTCAGTGGTGAATTTTATGAATAGATTGATGGAGTCAGCATGAGGTCTAGCATCGTGCCTGTAATGGCTAATGTTATTATGTGCTTTCATGAGAATGGTTGACTGACAGATTGTCCTACTGAGTTCCAATTGCTTATTTACATTTGCTATGTTCATGGCATATTTGTCATATTTAAAAACAAAGAACAGTTAGTGAAATTTGTAAAGTATTTCAATTCTAAACAGGTTAACATTAATCACCTGTGAATACCAACAGTGCTCGGCTCTGTTTTTTCTTAATATATTTTCAACAAAGAAGGACGTTTTGATGTCTATTGTTATCATAAACCCATCTACAAGCGGACTGTGCATCTGCTTTTGACAGTTTTGTTCCACTTCATTTTAAAGAAAACATTTTGAAATGTCTTGCATAGGAGTACCAAAGGAGGAATTTAACCATGACCTCATTCAGTATTATGCAAATTTTCTACATTTCATAACACATAAATGATCAATATATGACCTGTATATCAGTAAAGTGAGAAAGTTGATTGGCATGACTTTTAACACTAGTTGTGTCATGTTTATATGAATCACGATTATGTGTAACAAATCTGTGTTATATGACATCACCAGGTGATTAGAAGAATGCATCTTCATTGACTAAAACAGTTGGATGCCTTTGTTCATAATGCATCAAAATTTACTGAATATCGTGTAGGTTTCTTTAAGGAAGAAGTCAATTTTTTGTATAATTTATGTTATTTCTGTTAAAATAATTTATGTGGGAGAAATCTTTGGGCCCTCCTTACAATATATGTAGAACTGTGTAGAACAATTATGAAACTGCTTTAGGTTTAGTATGCATGTCATGGTGTTGATTATGCATATTGCTAATTTTGTTTCTGGTTTAGCTTATATTTAGAACTCTTATTACCAATTTGTTGGTCTTTCTTATTATTAACAACTCATTCCTAATTCAACTAAATGCCCTATACATATTCTTGTAATTACGCTGAATATCATATAATTAGAGTTATTTCTGGTTTAAAATGTATGCCATAAGATTGCCAATATACTGATCCTATAAATAATTAGCAGAATATCTCTTCATCAGAATACATGTGGTATTATTGGTGGCATTATGTTTAACCTCCATACAATTAACAGGTTTTCTAACTTAGGTAGAAATGGTGACAGTAATTAACTGCCAGTTTCATGTTATGAAACAAAGTACAAATATTACCATAGTTGATCCTCCATATAATAATTAGACCATTTCTGATTTAGAATATGTGCACTCAGTCGCACACCGATTCATTATTGTTGTCTAATGAAAAAGTTAACTAATCATATCATTTATCTTTATTATCAGTTCCTTCTCATAGCTAAAACAAAATTCACATTATAGCTATGCTTTAACATAATTGTACATTAGAAACAACAACAAAGAGCATAAAATAATTACTCCTACATTCTGGAGAAACTTTTCTTACACTTTGTGCATGCATCTTTATTCAACATATAACCTCTAATATCATTAAAATAATTACATCTTCCAAAAGCATGTTCAGAACATATATATGTATTTTTACTTCATCTTTAGTAACATGAAAATACTTTAGAATAAAATGTACCACTCTTGCAATAACATTGTTAAATGTATGATTAAATTCTGACATTTATTTTGCATGTACAATACTATATAACATTTTGTGCTGGTAAATTCGGCTGTTGCTAATTCAACAACCCTATTCTTTGCCAAATAATATATTAGTTGGTTAATCAGTCTATAGTATACCTACTACTTTCTAACACCCAGAGCTCAAGGAGAGTCTACAAGTGAAATGAAGGAATCATAGCATATTGCTGAGTTTAGCAACACACTGATACAAACCTAAATATAACAGTAAAATATGATCCCACTGATCTGCAGACTGTTAACAATAGGCTTAAATAACAAGCAGTAACAGTAGTTATATAGTCTTACAAGGATATAATTTCTAAAGCAGCTGATAAATTTTACCTCTAGATAATTTTTTATTTTTGCTACAGATATGAAAAATTAAAAAATTAAAGAATCAACAAACAACTACTTTTATTTGCAATTTATGTAATTGAACAATATTCAACTAATCAAAATCAGTGGTTCATAAAAAGAGAACCAAACAACCTTTATAGTATTGTGGAATATCAGATAGAAACATTAGATATCAGTGATTTTATTTCATTGGATCAGTAATTACCATAAAAGTTTTGTTGAGGGTTTCTGAAATCACAGCTGGAGACTACAGCAGTCCAGTTAAGATCTCAGCCAGTAACTGATTACTTCTAAGCTTATAAACAGTACAAATGTCAATTAACTGTTGCCATGATCAATTTTTTTGTGCCATGCCTTTTTACAGACATTAACTTCTGTTTCAGTTTTTTTTTTTTTGAAATGAGCTCAAGAAAGGCATGTTTTTTGTTTTGGTTTTTGATAGACTTTTGTAATATATGAAAACATGCAAGGGCAAATAACTAAAAATATTTTTTTTAATGTGTATGGTGCCTAAAGTATTTCACACAAATCACAGAAGGGGTTAACAATATGTCTAGACTTTAGAGATAGGTGTTCATTAAAGTTAGCATTGTTTAGGGCACTTGCAGCTCTTACAAACTTGTTACTGAATTGATCTTGCATTGTTTAGAAGTTATAAGTCTTGTGACAAAGATGTTTTTCATATTTTTGATGTCTAAAATAATTGAAAATGCAAGTGATGTGACTTGTAAGTAAAGATTTTTTAAAACAGTTTTAAAACATTCTGTTTACCAATGACATAATTACTATGTATTATAAATAATTATAGCTATTCTAATAAAAAAAAGTAAAATGTTTGTTTTTTACTGTTTTTATTTTCATATCGATCACATTACTGGAAATAAAAATGAGCTGTGAAATCACTGGATTATAACCTGACTGAACTAATGATTTACAGAATGTATTAACGTTATTTTAATTTTGTTTGACTTTCTTAGGTTACTTTCGGACTATGTGGTCAACACTGATTGATCTAAAATATTAAATTATTACAGTGAAAGTATCTTCTTTCATGTTAAAAATGCAGAAAATTTTATTGCAGTGTTTAACAGCTCATTTTTAAAAAGTTCACTGGTGTCACACTATCATTGTAAAAATGAAACATTACTGCAGCTAATGTGGAGAACTTAAAATTTTTTGTTTTAATACATGTGTACTATGTTATCTAAATAGACTTTCAGTTTTTGTTCTTATACATACCATAATGGTTTTCAAATTTTATTAGATAAATTTATTTAAAACATATCACAGTTTCAATTTGAAAATTTTGAGTAACCAATTAGCAAATTTATTTATGCATGTTTGTTGAATAGGATAAACATAAAAATAATGTTCAATAAAGATTTGAGTCATCAGAGTATTTTGTAGTCACCTAACAAAGTCATTAAACAGCAAACTTAACTAAAATCATCATCAAATTAAATAACTTTAGTTAGCATAAAAAAACAAAAAATTGTGTTCACAAACATTGTAATTTTAAACAAATAACCAAACATCAATAAGATACCTATATTAAGCAAGAGGAGTTTAGAATGAGTATAAATGTGATTGAAGATAAGATTGATTAAGTTGCTGGAGATGTAAAGAGGGATTACAACAACAAGATTAACGTGATATGAAAATATATAAAGTACATAAAGGTAAAGAAATACAAAAATACATCTCTGAAGTATGGAAAGATCATAACAGCAAGATCAATGAGGTAGAAAATAATTTCAGAGACATAGGAAAACATTAAGAAAATTAATTTAGAAAA